GTACCCTCCCATGACAAAATGATCTGACTCCATGTCTTAGCACTGGGCTATTCTAAAATAATTTAGAATAATTTCATTCCATGATTTATGTCGCATAAAATGAAGCTACCAAGTGCTGAGAGTTTCTCTTGGACTATTTGGCATAATTTCTGGTGATAAGCTAGAAAAGAGAATTTGGAGTCCCTTGCAGAAAAGCAGGGTCTCCTTTTTCTTTTTTTTTTTTTCCTCCTTTCATCTTGTACCTTGGTACACAAGGAAAGTTTTTGTTAGCTATGTAAGCATTCTTTCATTCAGATACTAATTTGACTTTGTGACTGTACGGAGAGTGACCTGTGCTCTGGTGTTGCATCTTTTCCATTTAGCGCAGGGGACTTTATAAAAAGTTGATTGGCTCGTAGGTCTTAAATCTTTCATAGTTTTCAGCTTTTTTCTCTTCCCTCAGAGAGGAAGCTGTTTTTTTTAATCCTTTCTGTGAATTTAGGAGAGGCTATTTCCTAGCCTTTCAGTATCTGTGATGTTTGATGTGTCCTGGACTTCCCTTTGGCTTTCAAAAACCATCATTCCTGGACTTTTTCATTACTGATGTGTAGGCGATGCGGCCACTCAAGCAGCCTGGCAGCAGTTTGGAGGGGAGGGAGCTGGGGAGGAGGAAGGTGCGTAGAGTGTTTTTCGCCTGCTCTGCCAGTTGCATGGGAGAGAGGCCGGAGCTGTGAGCTTTACGTGTCGAGCTCTTCCCAGCCAAATATCTCCTATAGCATCCGTAGGGCGGCGTGACTCACCGAGCCACGAGCATCGTCCGTGGGGATGCCGCTGGACCTCAGTGCCTGCGGACGGTGCCTCGCTGCTGCCGGTTGGGAATACTGATCCACGGTCAGCCTGTCCTTTTCCACGCTCCGCTGATGGGGTGAGCAGGTTGTCCTCGGAAGGGATTGCCCTGCAGCGGAGCAACTGCACCGGTGGGCATCACACCTGGCCGGCTTCCCTGGAGAGGCTCGGGAAGTCGGTGTTGCTTTCCCGACCTGCCCCAGGTAAGTAATCTGATCTTAAACAAAGAAACACAGAGACGGCTGTTTCTTATTTCTAAACACGTTAAAGTCCTTCTTTTTTTGTTTTGAAGGCAGAAGGTTTGAATATTCCCGTGCTCTGTGCTTCCCCCGAGCTCCCGGATTTGGGGGGTGATAATGAGGGATTTAATTCTGGGCAGCAGGTGCTGGCAGCGGGGATGCGGTGCAGCGCCTGTAATCGTGTCGTTAGGTTCATTTTGCACCATCTGGGTGTGAAAGGGATGGTCGAGCTCTTAATTGTAATCCTTGAGCATCTGGTACCTTCCTCCTCCTGCTGAGGCTGCAGACGTGTTCAAGGAAAGATGCTCGGTGTGTCTGAGGCACGCAGAGAGTTAACGCTGGCGGGGAGCGATTCTGCTGCCTGTTGAGCCGAGGAGGGGCTTCCGTGGGGCCGCTGCACTGGGGAAGGGTCTATCGGAGGGGAACGGGGAGGTTGTCCCCCCTCTCGCTGCCACTGGTCACCCACCACCTTTTCCTGCCAGCTCAGGAGAAAAGGAAAGTTGGTCTGGGCTTCCTACCCTGATCGGACGCGCTTTTCTGAGTTGCAAATAACCACAGCCGGGGAGATGTAAAGCAGCTTGGGGAATGTGACCTGTTGTGGAAGCACCCGTCTGCGAAACAGCCCTGAAGCAGGAGCCAGGCTCGTCATGACTGCCCTCTCAGAAAGGGGACCGATGGCTGCCAGAGACTTGGACAACATGGGAGAGATCTGTAAAAGACTAACAGCTGAATCGACTCCTTAATATGCTTTTGTATGTGAAGAGGCAAGAGGCCAAACTACATGGATAAGCTGTGCCATGGCAGTCCATCACTCCAGTGTAGCAGAGCATGGGAGGCTGAGGAGGCTCGTGATCTCTGGGTGGAATGTACTGCAGTAATGGGAAGGCAGCGAGAAAGAGGGAGAAAAATCGAACTAGGGAGTGAGTACAATTTCCAGCATTTACCTTGCATAGGTACGTGCCTGTTAACTGGACTTCTCCCTGGCAGCGCTGAGCTTATCGCTGTTGCAAGTCATTTGAGGTATTGGGGTGTGTGGCTAAGACAGAACACGCATCTGTTCTTTCTGCTGATTTGCTCAGAAATGTCAGCGTGTCAGGAAAGTGCTTGCATGGGGCTTTTGCAGTGAATATGAAAATTTCTCAATGTCAGTGATGCTATCTTTTGAGTTTAGGGGTAAGAAAACCAAACATGGTCTGCCCACAGATGTTTTAAGATGCACAGAACTGGTTGTCAGCGTGTGGGCAGCCAGGTCAGGTGTAAGGATGGGGACAAGCAAACGATGGTGCAGTTCACCTGGACACCACTGCTGTACGGGCAAGGGCTGGCAGAGGAACAAACCACACTGCTGCCTGAAAAGCTCATAGAGAAATTTCCCTGTTGTAAGGCTTGCCCTGCACTGTGTGCCGGTCACGGAGGGAAGGAGTGGGATGTGCTGCTGGGCTGCGGAGATGCTGATCTGGGATGTGATGGGAGTGTCAGGGAGAGGTTGGGAGCAGGCGGACTGGGCTCGGGGGGTTCAGATTGCTTCCATAACATGAGTCACTGGAAAGCAAATGCTTAGGGAGTTGAGATCAAAACTTGTGTGGCTTTTCACAGATCAAATTATGAAGTGTAGGCCATCTGTATTTCTTGGCTTTTTTACGTGGTTTGTACTATACTGGGCACATGACTGTGCCGGGGGGACAGGGTACAGTGTGTACAGTGCTGGCGAAGGACACAGGGGGTTTTTCTTCTTATTTCCATCTTTTCCATGTGATCGGGGTGTCCAAACTGTCCCTCACGTTGACAGTGTGGGTGAGACTGGTCCAGCAGCACAGGGTACAGCACCGCTTCTCTGTTGTCCCTTGTTGTGGTGCCTTTGAGGCCCAGAAAGTTTTTGTCTTGTTTCTCTGAATAAATGTGCAGCTGTTTCCATGTTGCTTGAGACATGTTTACACTTAGAAAGCAAGGGGAAGGTGAGGAAAAGCTAACCTGAATCTTTTACCTGGAAATAGTATTACCTGATACTTACACTTAGAAATCAGGAGTCAATTATCTGGAGTTATTTCCTGGCTTTGATGTAACTTTTTTATTCACCTTGGAGAAAGCAGTGACTTTCCTGTTCTTTAAAGGGCCTTTTTCTAAAATGCCTGTAATATTCTTGAGCACAGGGTGTTACAAGAATTAATGCTCATAACGTGTTTTAAGATTCATTAATATAAATTACCATAGGAGTGCAAATTAAATTCTACTACTACAGATTTACCAATGTGGTTTTAATATACGTGATCAAAAATGTTTAGTGTAGATCAGTGATCCTGCAGGGTCCAGGGACTTTGGATACCACTTTGGTGACACGGAAGATCACAATAGCCTATTACCCATTCAGTTAAATCTTTTTGTTGCAGAGGTGTACTGGTGGGTATGGTCTTATAACATTGGAGTGATGTTCATTAAAAGGTCTCACCCTCAGTATTTAGAAGACAGGGAGTTCGTGTGCCACAACCGCCCATGTTTTCTCCTTGTTGCTGGGAATGTCTTCCTGGTATGAGGATGGAAATTAAATCTTTCTGCTGTTCTGGCAATGATCTCCCTGCTGAAGCTGTTAGCAGAAATGTCAGTACTCTGAGCAGTGGGATTGAGTACTCTGAGGGGGGCTAGTACTATCAACTAAACTGGGACAAATCAATTTAGGGGGGCAGCAAAGCCATTAAACAGTAAAAGCTTTTAGTTTTTGCTGTTTTGAGATGGATTCAAAGGGATAGCATAAGGGTGAAAGACACTGTATTCCACTGTCAGTCTCCACGATCATCTAGTCCCCGTGCCAGTTACCCTGAGACTACGCAAAGCCTGCAATACTGGTAGCTGGTAAGGAGCGGTGCAGTGATATTTCAAGAGAGAGAGAAAGAAATCATCTGTATACACACTGGCTGTCTTCAAGGTGTTTCTCCTGTAATGAAACAATTAAATACCAAAGTGTGAAAAGCGCAGGTAGAGCTGAAATCCTCCCAAACTGGGCAGGTTCTGGGTCCTACAGCTCAAAGTGGTCTGCGGACATGTTTTTTGGAACTATGTCAGAAATCACTTCTCGGCTGCGATGGCTCATTGGACGGGTCAGTGGAGCCTGGGAAGAAGAACATGCTCCCAAGTTTGCATGACAAGTGGTAAATCTGAATTGTTTCTGGGGTCAGTGTGGCGTGATGTCAGCACGGCGGTGGGAACATCATTTCTCGCTGACAGCAGAGAGGAGTGTTTCCCAGTTTCAGGCTGTGATCCCTCCCAAAGGTGTCCTTGGGATGGTTCGGGGGAGGAGGCTGTGAAGCATTTTATACTCGTGAGGGAACAGTCAGCTGCCTTTAATTGCTGACTGCACTTAGTCCTCCCAGGGCAGACATTTATGTATTTATATCAGCAGCCAGTAACTATAACCTATTCTTGTTCCCTTGGCCAGCACAGGCTGAGCTACTATTAACAGTGGAGGTAGTTAACCTGTCCTTGGCTAATTAAAATCTGGGAGACCTGGGGGGAAGGAGAGCATGAAAGGGGGCCACACAAATACAGGCTAAGCCAAGAGAGAGTTAAGCGCTCTCAAAGTTTAAGGACTTTTGTCCCAAACTAGGGAAATGAGGGCACATTGAAAATGTGCTACTGTCTACATCCCTCCGCACTGCAACAGAAGTGCAATGTCTTCAGAAGGCTCCGACGTCTTTTTTGTGACCCCCTCCCAAAGCGATGCGACAACAAATGCTCGGGGAGGAGCTGCTGCAGTGCTTCCGTCTCCGAGCCCTTGCTGACGGCAGTGTTGTTTTCTGCTCCACAGGTCCAGAGGATGGCATAGCAATAACGTCGCCGTCCAGGGAGCTGGGGTCCTTCCTCGCCTGCCTGCACGCTGCTTGAACCGATCCCAAGCCTTTGTTTTTGGACCGAAGAAACCTGAAGACCTTTCTCTCCTAATTCATGAGCCAGCAGGATGTGGTCGCGGTGCTTTCAGAACGCCTGCTCGTAGCCGCCTACAAAGGCCAAGTGGAGAATGTGGTGCAGCTTATCAACAGGGGTGCCAAGGTAGCGGTTACCAAGGTAACAAGAGAAAAACGCTTTGCAAAATCCCTGGGAACTGACATAACTCCTAGACCATTGTCTGTGAAAGTGCCCTCGTAGCTTTACCAGTCTGAATGTGACTGAGGTTAGTGTTTAGATTTCGTTAAGGCTTATGCCTAATAGCTTATGTGATTTTACAATATCGTGCGTGTCTGGTATTTATTCCCTTTCCAGCGGGCGCAGCTGTGGTGGACGCCGAGTCCTGAGACACACAGTGTGTCGACAGAGGGGCAGCAACATTTTGTCAAAGCGTGCATTGACTTTTGAGCGCTGTGTGAACTGATGAATGGAGCGATTCATCGCTGTCGAGGGAAGGCGGTTCAGAGGGCCCATCTTTCTGGGTGAGGGGATGGGGGAAGGCCACCTGTTGCGGCAGGGTAAAGGTACGCAGAAAGCGTCGCATGCCACTGAATTCTCTTGGTACAGCAGCCTCGCTTCTACCCGACATCTTCCTTCCTTCGTGCTGCGTAGTCCCCAGTCAGTTCCAAACCGTGTTCCGTGTGCCTCCCAGATAAGGTCAGCATCAAAGGATTTCTCTGCTTAGATATCAGGAGAGTTCAAACCGATATCCACCTCTTCATAACTCTCAACATGTTATAAATAATACTAGCATATGAAAGATGAGATGGAGTTAGCTGTTGAAGAGAAAGTTTGATCAGCAAAAACCCTTAAAAAGAACTAGGTAAGTTAGATCTTTAGAGCTGTAACGTAAAATTTGGGACATCCTGTTTTGGTGAACTATCGTTTTCCATCCCTATCTATTTTTATTTGTATTTCCATAGTGGCTTTGAACATTATATATATGGGAGCTAATGTTTACAGATAGAAAGCAAATGTGAGTACCTTTGATAAGTAATCTGTCTCTTCCTCTTTTTATCTGTCAGTGACAGTTGTTTTCAATCCCTTTACAGTGTGTGAGTTGGAGATAGTATTTGTTTTGAAAGCTGGAGTGATCCAAGGACAACCGGTGTTTGCAAGTTTTGTTTGCCAAAACTAAGTGGCCCCTTGTTGGTAGATGCAAAGCACAGACGTAATAAACGTGAACGGTCCCATAAAGATGCCTGTTTGGCTCTGTTGTCCAAGCAGCTTTGTAGCTGATGAACAGGTATTAAAGGTAGTCAGTAATAGATCAGGAAATACTGACTGACAGCTGTCTGAATGGTAGCTTGGGGTTTTGTGGTGTTTTGGTTTGTCGTTTTTTTCAAGATCATGAGCTTTGACACTGCTGAGGGACCTACCTGAAAATACACAAATGATTGAAAGGATGCAATGCTTTGTATAAATTTGTGCATTAATATAATTTCAAATTCAGCTTCCACACAATTTGAACATAAAATGTCATGTCCTTTGTAATGGTTGCCAGGATAATCATACCACTGATGTAGCTGCTTCATGGAATTAGTTGCCATAAGCCACAATTCAAATGCAAAATTGACACTTTCTCATTGTTAAAGTTACTATGCAATTATCAATGCCTTCTGTTAATTACAATAAGAAGCAAATTGTGTAGATCTGACTTTCAAACACAAGATCAGGTTAATTTGATAAAATGCCGATTTGCTAGAGTTGACAAGTTTTTCTTTCCTGTACGATATAGGTGGCTTCCTACTGCTTGTGCTTGCTTTGTTGTTCAACCTTTGCGTGGAAAATCAAAGCAAAGCTCGTTTGGCGGCAAAGCTGCGCCCAGGTGCAGAGCGTAGGTGTTTCTGTTGGAAAGCCGCGCTCGCTGGTGAGCTCCGAGGCCATCCCTCTCGCTGACCTGGTACCACGGGATTGTAGCTATTCCTTCCTAGAGGTTGTGGGTCATCGCCATGGAGCCTGGGAGGGGTGGTGACAAAAGCTGTCCCTCTTGTCATTCTGGGTGCCCCCTTGCACATCAGCAGACAGCGCAGACGAGGTACTTGGGTAGCCTGGTGACAAGCGCTGCTCAGAAGAGATGAAGTCAGATCAGCAAGACTGTGGAGGACTGCCCAGTGGAGCGGCGAGGCTCTCGGAGGAGTGGCTGACGCTACATGCGTGGGGTATTTTGGAGGCACACAGGCACTTATTCCTCCCATGCTGGGAGCTACATAGAGGTGAGCTCAATGTGAACCAAGAGGTGTGAGACCAAGCTGCTGCCCTCATCAAAGACCATCAGTTCAGGCTCAGTAATGGCCTACCCTGACCTACACGGCATCCAGTTTGCATCTGGACCCAGCCAGCTAGCTGCACAGGGAGAGCATGTGCATATTTGCCTATGAAAAGCTGTATAAACATACCCTGGAAGAGCTTGGCTTGCTAATCTGGTGACACACAAAGGCTGGAAGGAGGAATAGACATTTAAAGTCAAGGACAAGGTTGTGACAGGAGCAAGAATGTATAAATTAGCCTCAAATATATTTAAACTGGCTATTTGAAGGGATTTTTTAGCCATCAGAGATCCAGGTTCTAGTGCAGTCTTTCAATAAGCAGAACAGATGCAAAATAAGAACTACTTTTGGGATAGGGGTTGTTAATTTTAAGATGGAAATCAGATAGCATGCTTGTTGTAGCAGACAACTATTGATCAATCTTTCAGATAAATTGAAACCCAGAGCCCTCTCCCCTCCCCAAGATAAAACTCATTGCAAAATGAAGCATAAAGATAAATATATTCATGAGCATGGCTTCGTTCTCTCTTACCTGTATGTCTTCAGCTTTCATTCGTAGTTTTCAGTTTGTTCTGTCAAATTAATTTTAAATTAATCCCCGGAATGCCTGCTGAATTCTGTCCAGAGTTTTATTGGAAGAAGACATGCAGAGACAAAGCTCTTTGGAGGGAGACAAAAAGTTCCCACATCACTTTAAGCCTTAAACGTATTTCTGATGTGCATCTGTGAGCACAGACTGATTCTTGTGAGAAACACCATGCAGAGCCACAGCTTGAAATGACCAGGATCTAGAGCTAAATGCTAGAGAGTTCTTTATAAACAGGATCGATAGAGCATGGCTTGAGAAAAATGAAGCGTATTTTCTGTAACAAACCAAGTACTATTAAATGCTTGATAGCTGGCAAGCTCGTCTGGGTCTATTTTTAATATATATGTGGAAGGTTATGTGATGTGGTTAAGTGCTGCTTCAGTGAACAACAATTCAGCTGCAAAACAGAGGTGACAATAATGAAATACTAGTAGATGATTTCAGAAGAAGAATATGAAAGAAAATTCAGTGGAGAATCTCATTTCACCGTTTCCTTGGGGATGCACTTGTTTTGCTTTGGCAGCGTTACTAGCAAGTTACCTGTGCAGGTGAAGTCAGTACGGAAGGTTACACTCCAGCATCTTCCCTGACTCCAGCGAAGGACGCTGGGGCTCTTTCCACCTTTGGGGGCTTCTGAAATACGAAAAGAGCAGCTGATGGCCAGTAGCTCACAGCATTGCTGATGATCTGATGCCAGGGAGCCCAGAGTGGGAGAGAGCTGGTGGCCCTGCGTTGCACATACATCAAGCGCTCGTCCTGGTGCTGGGATCTCTGCCACGAGATGTGCGGGGTGGTGGCCAAGAGATGGTCTGGCTCTCGGAGGTGTTCTGGTGCTCAGCACAGGCTTCATGGCTCTGCTCTTCTCAAAAGGCATCTTCTTGACCAGGGTGTTCTCTTGCTGCTCTGCCTGGTGGGACAAAGAGACAAGTTCCATTTTTTGCCTTTGTCTGATGTTCTTCACAGGTGTGAAACTTCACGCTGTTTTCTTTATGAAGAGGGCAAAAACTCCCCTGGACAACTGATCATACAAATTGACTGATCCAACAAGCAGGTGCCTTTATAAAGTATTTTGGTGAATATTTTGCAAAAGATGGAAAATTAACAACTGAGCTTGGTATAATTAAGTCTTTTCTTCCAAGCGAGAAAGCTGATCCCACCTTTCAGTTGTTCTGTAGCTGAGCTTCCTTTCAGTAAAGTCACCGACAGCTCTGTCTGACATTAAAGAGCTGGGACTTTTGCTGAGCTGCCTTGCAGTCCTCCTAGGATGTTGTTTTCCTTTTCCTGGATTATTTTTCTTTGGTTTTCTGAGTTGAGATGGGTTAGCATAAATGGCTGAGAAGCACTAGAAGTGGCCCAGGAGGAACAGCAGTAGTGACATCTCAGATCAGGCTGGCTCTTCTCTTGATCTTCTCCTCAGAATGGTACCTGGAGGATGGAGAGAAGTGGGATTTCACCACCCAGGCGTCAACTTCTCGTGTGTCCCAAGGATGCCTGGCTGAAACAAGGCACTTCTGGGGGAACAGCAGCCCATGGGGTTGCTCTGTGCCTGGAGATGAGATATTCATGTCTGAACTTTTCTGTGCTACAGCTCCGCTACAGCGCTGGATTTCACTGGGGTGTTGCAGCACGGGGTGTAGCATTCAATAGTCAGAATTAATAAGGCCAGAAAAAGCTGTATATTATCAAGCACGGACAGAGGAGCGTGCCACTTCTCTGTCAAACGTCATAAAGATTGCCAGAGAAGTCATAAAGGTCATACAGGCAGTTTTAATGCGATTTGGATAGTGCCATGAATATTTTTTCAAAGGGAAGCAGAATATAGCTTTTCTGCAGAGTGTAGAGTTAAGATCATAGCTATAAAATTGAATTCTGCAGAGAAAGGATGATCATTTAGAAAAAAAACATAGAAATGCAAAAGGTAGTGCTTCTGTTTTGATTCAGTAATTGTCTTTGTTTGATTTGATTTTTGAACTAGTCCTGTTACGAACCTGCCATATGGCAACACTTTCATAATGCTGGGGTACTTGTAATCTTGTCATCAGCATTTCAACTTCAGAGCATGCTGAGTTGTTTATAACAATATTTATTTTTCTTTTTAACTTCAGACAGAAAAAAAAGAAATAAATATATTTTGGTACATTCACATATTTTTGCTCCTTCAGTTTGAAAAACTACTTCTGTGTGTTTTTAACAATAAATAAAAATAAATGAGAGGGGACTAGCAAACATTTAAGGGCTCACTGAATGCCTGCTGAGGTCAA